GACTTGTGTTTCAAAGGGGTCAGGGACTCAAGGTAGTTGTTTCGTTCTCAGTTGCATCCCAAGGATGTTGGGCTTGACGCTTTGGGTGTTGACCACAGTCGTGGCTTCTGTGCGCTCGCCATGGCCAAAGAGGAGCCGGATGAGCAGGCTGAGCCGATCGTAGATGCTCAGAGGCTGTGCGGCCAGCAGAGCTCGGACATTTCACTTCGATCTTTCAAGTCGCGACTGGTAGAGTGGCGAGAGCAATGTCTTAGGTTTCAAGCCTCTGGCGAGACGTGGCTGCCCACGAAGCCCTGTTGTCCGGCGAGCCCCTTTCTAGGGTTAGAAGCTTGTCTTTGGCAAGGCTGCAAGAAGCACGAGCCAACCCCATGTGCACAACTCCTGAGCATAGAGGAGTTGCTTGAGTTGTACGAGTTCTTCCGCGAAAACCCGCACCATGGCCTTTTCGAAGACCAGCCGGAGGCCGCTTCCGGATCTGAACCACGGCTCGATGTGCGCCCCTGGATGCGGGATGTTCCCGCACGAGTTTGGGCTGGCAGTGGCTATCTGCTCGAGGAGAACGGCATGCAGCAGCTCTCCACGACCTCCGAGAAGCATTCAGAGTCAGTGGTCGAGCCAAGAGCGGGCGGCCATGCTCCTAAAAGGCAAAGGGCTGTGCAGCCCAGGAATACAGCCACCAAGAAGAGAGGCCGTGGGGGTACCAGCAAGGTCAAAGAGAAAGCCGAGGCCCAGAAGCTTAAGAGGAAGCAGGTCACAGCGAGAGCCAAAGCCCACAAGCTAGCCAAGAAGTCTGAGCGGAAGACAGCTCCCCTCTCCGACGTGAGAGGCGTTTACTTCTGCAAGGACAAGATCTGGCGTGTGTCCATGTACAACCCCTCCACCCAGAAACAACTCTATGGGGGCTCTTTCAAGAACCAGCGGGAAGCCGAGGCCAGGGCGCGAAAGCTGGGCAAAGAGTTGGGGGTGCGAACCAAGCGCAAGGCCCACTTTGAACCGCTGGGGACGCAGAAGGGGATCAAGTGGTACCGGGGAGGCTGGAGAGCCTGGTTCAGGATCTCCGAAAGTAAGAAGCAAATAGAGAGAATGTGCGTTCCCGGTGATTTATCGACCAAGGAGGTTGAGAAGGCCTGGAAGAAGGCGGTGGCCTGGCGCAAGCAGCAGGAGAAGCAGCATCTTAAGCAGGCCAGTAAACGCTGACAGTATGGCCACGTGTGGATGTGCACGATGCGAAACGAATGCAACAGAGCTGGCCAAAACTCTGGGTTTAAGGTTTCGGAAGTAGGTACGGTTAAACCGTAGCACACGGTCGTCCCTGTACAGTCCCAAGGTACACAAAGTATGCATGTGGATCGAAGGTTTATCAAGTAGGATGACCCTTGCGCAACCCCAAGATACATAAAGAGTATAGTATACACCTTATCCCGAAACCCAGTAGGGCCTTGAATAAACTAGCATAGTAAGCCCGGTTAAGTGGTGCAGTTATAATCAAAAACCACCAACAACCACACCACCACCCCACCACCACAGATAGCAGCAGCAGCACCACCACCACCTCGACCAAAACCTCCACCACATCACCACCAAAACTGCCACCAGCACCGCCACCACCACCAACACCACCACCGCCACCACCGCCGCCACCGCCACCTCTACCAAACCACCACCACCACCATCACCACCATCACCGCCACCGCCACCACCACCACGACCGCCACGGCCGCCACCGCCGCCGCCACCAATACCACCACCACCACCACCACCACCACCACCACCACCACCACCACCACCACCACCACCGCCACCAGCAGCAGCAGCACCACCACCGTCACCACCACTAGCACCAGCACCAGTGCCACAGCGCTGTCACCATCATGAACACAGTGACGACCACCATCGCCATTATGATCACAATCCTTAGCCTCCTAGTCTTCATTGTCCTGACCCTTATTATCCTGGTCATCGTCTTCACCAACGGCAACATGGTTGCCATCAATAGTCATCGTCATCCACGACCACCTCGTTGTCATCCTCGCAACAGTAAGGGCCATCGTCACCAACACTATCATCATCATGATCATCGTCGCAGACTGCCTTCGTGGCCGTCTGACTGAGAACAACACTTCACCAAGTTTTTGCTCCTCAAGTGACATCGCTTGCCTGCGCATTCTGGCTTGTCAAACGAGGCCTCCCTTAGGGGTATTTAGAAATAGTTGTTAATTATTTGTGATTATAATCCCTAAGAAATAGTTGAACTTATAATTGTTGCTAGAGTTCTAAGGTCAGTATAGGAACACTGATGCCTGACGAGACTTCAGCCGGCAGATCCGTGCAGGTCAGCCGCTAGGGCCTCCGATGACCACCTTCCCGCTTCAGGCCTCGCCTACGGTTCTAGGACTCTTTGTAAGATGAATGCACAAGTCACAAGTCAATGACTACGAACTGATTTGCCTTCTTTGTCCGGCTGTCTGATTGCTTGTACCTCCTTTACCAACACGTGAGAATGGGAGCAGACTAGTCATAGACACGTAGAGGAACTGACGGTTTTCGTCGCGTAGTTACATATATGTGCATGCCCCTGTGCGTGCGTGCGTGCGTGCGTGCGTGGGTGTGTGTGTGCACGTGTGTGTGTGTGTGTTTGTGCGCAGGCAGGTGAGATCTGCTTGTACAAAAGCTCCGCTCATGGCTGGATTCCTGCGAAGGTGCCCAACCCAGCAAACTTCGTTAAGGAGACCGGTTTAGAGTTTGCTAGAGTCTAGAGTGTTTGGGGTTTGGGGCTTCGAAGACCGAGGTGCAGGCTTCACACCGCGACACGGGGTTGGCCGCAAGCCACGCAGTTTTTCCTATGCATATGCAGGCATATTCGTTGTCGCATGTGCCGTGCGTGCGTTCGGACCCGTCCGTTTTTGTCGGATCTCGTTTTTCAGAGGTGTTGCGTTTAGGGATTGCAGCTTCGGGTTTGGAAGGCATGTGGGGCTGGTAGATTGGCTTAGGAGGTTGCCGCACTATAGTGTTCCGCTTATGCAATCTTCCACCTGCTCCAGTAGCACCCTCCATATGCGTTATGATCCGGCTTTTCGCAAGCACAGAGTTCTAGAAGGTCTCATGCAGCTTCTAGAATACTGACAGTACTTGGGATCATAGCACGGTAGACTCGCGTGGTGCAGTCCTTGGAATCTGACAGCCACCGAACACTGGCACTGCAGGCACGGCTTTGGAAACAAATGTACCCCAAGGAGCCCTGGGCTCCTTCAAGGGCTCCTAGAAGGACCCTTTTAGGGTTCCTTTAAGGGCCCCTTTGGAGGGTTCCCCCTTGAGGGTTTCTGTAAAGGGTTCCTTTAAAGGTTCCTTGAAGGGCCCCTTTTGAGGGTTCCCCTTAGAGGGTTCGTTAAAGGGTTCCTTTAAGGGTCCCAAAGGTGCAGAGCTACCGGACCGGCGAGGGAACCTGTGAGCTGGACGTGAAGCCCGGGGCCAACGCGCGGTGCCCAGAGAGGCCGTGTGACCCAGGAGTTTCAGTAGGTCTGACGGTAGAGGGTTTTTGGGGGTTTGGGGATTTAGGGGTTTAGGGGTGTAGGGCTCCGGTATTTAGGGTTTAGGGGTTTTATAAGGGTTTGGCCGAAATAAGCTGGTGCTACTGAGGAGGTGTATTCTACAGCGAGGCTTTGAGGTTGACCAGGACCCCCCAACTGCCCTTTAATAGAGCCCTTATGGTCCTATAACATTGCGTATTTAAGGTATGTTAGTTGGTAGTTGGGGGGTCTAGGGATGAACGATACTTTCGGTTTCTCCTGACTGGGACGATGACTTGAGTGGTGATGCGATCTCGGTGACGGCGATGATGATCAGGATTGTTGGATTTGAGGACAGAGAAGATAGAGCTGAATGGAGATGAACATGATTGCCAAAAGCGAGTGCTGAACAGATTCATAAGGTCGTGGTCACACTGATGCTGATTTATGTCAGCATGACTCGACGTTGATTGTTGTGACGCTTGTCTTCACGACAACGATGGTAAGGACGGATGACAGTGGCGGATGTTGTTGTTGATGGTGACTCTTCTACTTAGAGGGTCATGGGACTTAGTAACTAGGGTTATAATTAAGGTAACTATACTGATAACTACATATAACCCCAATTAAGGTACTTAGAACCATACTTACTGAGTCCCATGATCCTCCAAGTAGTGATGATGTGCATGGTAGTGCCGTTCATGGCGATGGTCCTTACCTCGGATGTCGAGATTGGGCCATGAGAGAATCTGTTCTAGCTGCTACGTTTATGTTCGTTTTGTACCTTTTCAATCCTTGAGGCAGTGGCTACTTTCGACGATTGCTTTTCGTAGCATGATGCAGTGTGTGCCAGGTTGCGTCGTGCTTGCTAAGCTGCCTTGCATTGGTGAGAGGGTGTCTCTCTGTGTGTGTGTGTTGTTCGGTTTGGCTTTGTTGTCCTGACGTTTCTTGTTGCAAGCACCGCCATGGCTTCATGCATGCCGCGCGACGATAGTTGCTTTCTTAAGTTGGAACTGCACACTGTCGGTGTGCATTTCCGCCGGCTGATACTTGGTGTGATTTGTCACAGGCATGCGTACATGTGCTTCTGCCTTCTGGTTAGGATTCAGGCCAACTTTGTCTCACTACGCAGCTTGACTGCTCAAGGACCGCCTAGCGAGTCCCAGGAAAAGACCGCTTACAGCCTGGGGGTTGTAGGACCTGTCTTCTGCCTGAGCGTCAACCTTACGGTTTTAATCTCTGATCATCCTTGCTTTGCTTTGCTGCCTTGCTTTGATCTACGATTGGTTGCCTTGGGCTTTGTGACCGAGAGTTGAGTGGAATCCTCCGCTTTTCACAGGTTATCAGCCGTAGGGCCTCCGCATCCGATTGTGGATTGCTGCTTCGCTGCTGCTGCTTGGCACTCGGACCGCCTGATCCAATCAGCGTCCGATCACTACCGTTTTCCTGGCTCAGACCAAGTTCGGAACTTGTGATTGGCCCGCCACCGAGAGAATGGCGACTCCGATCGGTTCTCCCCGTGTCCCCTCGACTGTCGGTTCTTCACTAGTGACGCCAGTTGCTCGGGATGTCGTGGAGCCCGATGATAGTGCCCACGCATCTCGCTGCACTGCACCCGCCTCGCACGCTTCGCTCGCTCGCTCTGCTTCGCTGCTTGCTTTGCCGCCTGCTGAGGACGATCAGAGAGCTCAGCACCATGCGCCGCTTTTGCCATGCTCTGCTGCCGCTTTCGCAACGCCTGGCACGATGCACGCCGGCATGCTGCCTGCTTCTGCCACCGCTCGTGCTTTGCCTTTGTTGCCTGCCTTTTCTGTGTCCGCTGCTCCTGCTGCTTCCGCACCTGCCCTTCTTCCGACCGATCCTTCTTCTTGTCCTCTGTCCCTTCGCGGGGATCCAGAGGGCGCTCGGGCCCTTTTTGGGTCCGGGCCGGACGGCCGTGGTCCACCGATTTCGGACCCGGCGTCCTTCCGTCCACCGCGCCCCGATTCTTACGGGCCGGTGGCTGGCCGCGGTGGAGCCTTGCTCCCCGACGAGCCCATGAACGACCATCCGGGTGCGCCCCATGTTTCCGTCGCAACGATTACCGCGGCGGATCATGGTGGTGCTGCCCCCGCCACCGATTACGGCGGGAGGCTTACCGGACCCTGTGCTGTCAGGGCCCTGGTCGATGAAGCCATTGGGTCGGAAGCATCCGCGCGTATCGCCACCGATATTCTGGCGATCGCGCAGGGTGTGACCAATACCCAAGCCGACCTCGATATACTGAGGAACGGCGTCTCGGACATCGCTGAAGCACTTGAGAACAAGATCCGAGACATGTGGGAGCTTCTTCAGGGCGCGTTGAGTGATGAGCAACAGCGTCTCACTCACGTACAAGACTCGATCCGAGAGAGACGGATTTCAGATCTCGAGTCCCTTGATGAGCGTTTCGATAGGCTTAACTCGATGCTGAATGACCGATTCATTGAGTTCGATGAGCGGATCCACCAATTCAACGAGAAGCGTGCTGGATCGCTATCCATGCAGCTTGCTGAGACGATCCGTCACATCAAACAGTACCCCGATGCGCTGCGGCAAATCTTGATCTCTAATGCCGAATCGCGTGTCGCTGCGGTTGAGCAGAACGCTACTCACCGCATTGAGGTGATTAGATCCGAGATGAGCCGTGCTCTCTACGATCATAAGGAGAGTAATCGAGTTCTCATCGATCAGCTCACTGCTCGCATTCAGCACCTCGAGAGCGCTCATGTCCGCAGGGGTGGTTCTGACTTGTCGACGCCTTCGCGCCCGGAACGGACGCAGTTCTTCGATATCAGTGACCATGATGGGGATTTTCCCCGTCCTGCGGACTTGCCGCCAGTTCCTGGTGCTCTATTCCCTGGCGGACCGACTACAGCCATTCCGAGATCTTCTCTGTTAGGTCCGATTGATCATGGCTCTCCGCCGGGATGCAATGCTGCGCCTGCTGAAAAGGCCTCAACGGTGCACTCTCAAACGAGTGGCATCAATCTTGATGAAATTCTGAGGCGCGCGCAGCAACGAGTCACGAGTCGCTGACGATCATCCTCCTGAAAGTCGCGGGCAAAATAATCCTGTTGAGCCCGTCCGACAAAATTATGGTCAAACGTCTGCCTCTTTTTCAGGAAGATCTCCGATTCCGGCCGTTCCGTCCACAAATGCCGCCGGAGCGACATCCGGTCCTCAGGCCCTGTCCGGTCAATGATGCTCCTCGAGCTGACATACGACCTATTCCTGAAGCTCGAAGCTTCGCTCCTGAGCCCAGGCCGAGCCCGACCTTCCCGTGCCAAATTTCCTACGACACTCGAACTGTTCCGGCAGGGAAGGGACCTTCAAGATGGTATGATGCAATGCTTGGCCGATCCAATCTCATTGGCAGCAGTTCTGGTGCACCTGTTCTCCATAGCGAGACCGGTACCTTCACGCTGGCACCGAACACAAGCGTCACTGCAACGCTTCGCCCTACTGCTACCGATGACAGTGATGGATGGGCTATGCCTCCGATGCCCACCTTTAATGCCAGAACGTCCGCCCCTGCACCCAGTGCTGCGCCATCCGGACTAGTCGGACCGCCGCCTGCGCATGGCGGTGACGGTGGTTCTTTCGGTGGTGACGGCCCCAACAATCACGGGGGTGCGTACGGTGGTGGTTTTGGAGGGCATGGACACCACGGGTCCGGTTTCGGCCCTGGTGGCGGTGGTGGACCTCCCAGTGGCCCGCCCGGCGGCCCGCCTGGTGGTGGAGGCCCTCCCGACGGGAGTGGTCCGCCCGCTGGTGGCCTTGATCCGCCGAGCATCAGGCCCTCAGGTCGACCGAGCGGGAATGATACTGTCCAGTGCGAGCGCTGCACCGGAACGTTCCCGACCACCGTGCGACGGCCGTGCATCTCTTGCCGGTTCTCGTGCTGCAACGGATGTTGCCGAGATCCTTTGAGAATCTGTCTCGTGTGTCTTGAAAGACAGACTGGGAATCCACCTGGTCCTAACGATACGGGATCCGGTGGACCCAAGGGCGATGGATCGCTGAGCGAGGCTAAGAAGGCAAAGTGCAAATCCTTTCGGCTCGACCCAGAGCCCGAGCCCGCTCAGCTGCGACGCTGGATCGTCGATATGAAAGAGCGAGTTGCGAATGCATTCGCATACGATCCCGGATACGCACTCTCATGGGTTGAGATTCCCGATGGTACACGATATGAAGATCTCCTTGATGAGTGCAAGTACGGAATGCTTGAAAACGAATGCAACTCTGCATTCCGTGAGTGCGTCAAGTCCATTGCACTGAAGAATAAGATCCAGACCGAAACCGAGCGCATGCATACGATAAATCGGCGACTCGGCAGTAGGCAGATCTTATGGTTGTTGTATGATTTCCTTCGACCACATGTCACTGGCGATTCGACTTTCAAGCTCGTTGATCTCATGAAGACCACGATTGATCGGTTTACTCATGGATCCGAGCAGGAAAGGCTTGAAGCCTTCTCCAACCGATGGGATCATGTTCTCGCTGGTATATCAGTCGATCGCCCCGAGGATCCTGTCCTTTGCGCCCTCTTCTATGAGCAGGTGCGTGAGTTCCGCTGTCTCGAGTTCGATATGCAGTTGTGGGACAGGGATGTGTCAGTTCGGAACTACGCATACTTGCGGACCGTCTGCGTCAATGCGATTACAACTTGGCGCCGACGACGCAACCAGGAGAAGATGTACACCGCCACACGATCTACCTCTGCGCAGAGACGATATGCTGCACCTGCGCACGGTAGTCCGCGCAGATCCTTCTCCCGAAGTAAGAGGGGATCCAGGCCTCCTGGCCGCCGAGACTCCAGAAGAGGGAGTCCATACCGAAGGAGCTCGCCAAGGCACACGTCGCCCAGACGATCCTCCCCGAGACGTGGTTCGCCGAGGCGATACTCGCGCAGTCCGGGAAGGGCCGCTCCTGCGCCAACGCGCCCTGCATCACGATCTCCACGAGGACGGGAAATCTGCTACGATTTCAAGAACGGCAGATGTACGCGAGGAAGCGGTTGTAAGTTCTCTCACAACCTCAAGGGTAGAAGCTCCTCGCCGAAGGGATTCCCGCCTCGGTCCCAGTCACCGATTTCAAAGGAGTCTGGTATATGCTTCTACTATGCACGTGGAACTTGCACGAGAGGTGACAAGTGTCCATACAAGCATGTGAAGCCTGGTGCTCCTGCTGAGAGCACTTCTGTTGCCGCTCCTGCGCCTGCTGAGCCCGCGCCGACATCAAGGCGGGTTGACAGCCCGGCGCCAACGCCCTCGGATTTTTGAGAGGGGCGTGCCGCAACCCTGGGGCAATGACAGCATCCTCCATTGGAGACTTTGCGTTCGCTTGTGCAGCATCATTCGATATGGCATGTCCGTCAGTCAAGCGGAAGACAGTGTCGTTTGGGAATACTGAGACCCGCGTGATAGAGTCTTCTTTCCCAGAGCCGGCCTTCGGCCCCGTCAATCGCGAGAGGAATTTGAACTATTCGTGGCCGGAAAATATCCGTGGTCAAAATAGTGCTCGCGAGAGGCGAAGGGCCCATATGAAGGCTGTGCTTTGGCGAGAGCAGGTTTTGCTCGATGACGTTGATGCCAAAACGTTAGGACATGATGCTTGTGTTCTTGAGCTCACGCTATCTCAGCGGAGCGCTTGCGAAGTCTTTGCTGCTGCTGTCAAGTCTATTAAGAGGGTGCGGAGACTCATACTCGACTCCGGTTGCTGTATAGACCTTATTGGTCTCGGTGATTTATCCCGTGAGGAAAAGGATCTGATCGTTCAGAATGCCAAGATCAGCCTTCGGACCGCTAACGGGAAGACTAACACCAAGGGTGTTGCGCACATGCGCATCGATGGTCTCGATGAACTGATTGAAGCCTATGTGTTGGAAAGTACGCCAAGTCTCCTCTCCCTTGGGAAACGATGCAAGGAGCTTGGTTATCGATTCATTTGGGACCCCTTTTGCGATCCGATGTTCTTTGATCCGAAGGGGAAACGACTCAAGGTCGACGTGATAAATAATATTCCCTACCTCGCTCCAAGTGAGACAGAGGTAGTGGCCGGCCGACCTGATCTCCCTCGTGTGTACCCGGCTCTCCCAGCACCGATTATCGTCCACGAAAAGGTCGTGGCGGCTGGTGAAGAGCCTGGTGGCGAGTTAGACGCCATTGGAGAACTTGATCTCGATATGCCCAGCGCCAAGAACGCCCAGAAGAGTGCACCTGACGATAGCAAGAAGGTGCCTGATAAGGGTAAGCCTCAATCGCCGCCCGATGAACCTAGAGCGCGCGATTTGAGAGAAGATGCGAAGTCAATCCGCCATCTTATGACTCATCTGCCTAAGAACCCTTACTGCGATGCCTGCCAACGTGCGAAGATGGAAAATGTCAAGTCCTTCCGCCAAGACTCACCGCGCGATAAAGGGTTTGAGAAGTTTGGCGAACACGTTACCATCGACGCAATGGTGTTGCACGGGCTCGGCAATCGCGGGAATAATGGGGAGACGGATGCTGTCGTCTTCTACGATCTAGCAACCGAGTGGTTGGAGAGCGTCCCCGTCAAGGGAAGAACGAATGCCGACACGCTTCGAGCGTTTCAGCAGGTCTTCGGCGATCTACAAGATGTGAACTCGTTCTCCATGGATGTGGAGAGAAGGTATGCACCTTCTGCGACTCGGGAAATCTATTGTGATAAGGCCCGCGAGTTCATATCGACCTGCAAGAAAGTCGGCTTTTCTGTAAAGCACTCCACCCCGGGGATGCCACGGACTAATGCCATTGCCGAGAGCAAGGTGAAGCTTGTCCTGCATGGCGTATGTGTGGCGCTTCGACAAGCGGGTTTGAGCGCCAAATTTTGGCCTTATGCATGTAAGCACTTCTGTCATGCTCGCAACATCGAACTGCGCGAGGGCCAGAGTGCATATGCGATGCGATTTAATGGTGCTGAATTTGACGGTCAGATTCTGCCGTTTGGATGCCTTGTTGACTTCTATCCTACGCCGGCACGAAAGCAGACCCGGCGGAGTCAGGGAGATGAAGTCGTTCTCGGTGATGGTGAGGAGTACGCGGTACCTGCGCCTGGAGATGATGGATTGATTGATGTCGAAGTTGGTTTCGATGATGATGGTTATCTTGAGTGGATTGACGATGGAGACAATGATCAATCTGGCACTCTCCAGGGCACCGACGTTGATCAACGCTTGTCGTCCTACCAACGCCCCAGCAAGTTCTCCCCTATGAGTAAGCCTGGTATCTTTCTGGGTTATCATTTTGAGAACGGGGTCAAGTGGGACGGTGACTACATTGTCGCCGATCTGGAAGACTTCAAGCGCGATGCATTGCGTGCGAGCGTCCATCAAGTCAAGAAGATATATTGCTCACCCAAGGAGCGATGGACGTTCCCGATGCTCGCCGTGTACGACAAGCAAACTCGATCAGTGTGCATCAACGATCCTGCGATGCAATCCTCTGTGCCTCAGCCAAGTGAGCGCCTTGACGCCTCTGATACGCTCGAACTCGAAGATATCGACGAAATCTTTGCCCTAGACGAGCCGACCCGAATGACCGAAGATGATGTTCGACGGGCTCGTGAGGCCGAGTTGCGAGCCGAATCCTCTCATGGAGGAGGTGTCGATTACTGGGATTATGATCCACTAAATCATAAGTGGACGTATCACGTAGTCGTCCCGAGAAAGGCGATGATTCATCCCAGTAAGACTCCCGGCTCTATTGGCGAATCGCCTGATCCGTGGAAGCTGAGCACAGTGCGTATCTCGCATGTTCAGTATAAGGACAAAAGCCCGGTTACGATCTATGAAACCGGCCACGCCTTCGGCAAGACGAGGCTCATGCAGCTCTGGACAGGCACTGTCGAATTCTTTGATGATGGCTTTGCCCCGCCCAAGAAGAAGCTACCTCCTTACCATGGGTCTGAGATCCTGGAGGGCGAGGGGGGTTTGCCTTATCGTCAGAGTGTGCCGCGCTCTGAGCGTGTCTACAGAGGGTCTCGAAAACCGAACTCTATCGACTCAGAATCCTGGCGCAGCATGAATCGCGCCGAACGGGAGGGATATGTCGAGGCTGAGCGCCGAGAAGCCGAGTCTCATGCTATGTCCCGTGAGGATTCTCGCGTTGCAGGATTCATGGAGATCATCCGATGTGCGATCTCTGCCATGTCGATGGACAGGGAAGACCGTTTTCGTTATCGGTTCTTCTGCTAAGACGCAGATCAAGGTTCGAACCAGTCTGCCGAATAAAGACGGCGCAGAGCGCCGCGTGCAAACTGCGAACGGCTATTATGTCCACGCCTTGCGCGCAAAGGGACGTATTGTTGTTCCTGCTAAATCCCGTGCCTGTGTTGTTACGGATCTTGAGTTTGAGCCCCCAAGCGGTATGTCGGCCCGCCTTCAGCCGCTCCGCGGTAGTGGCCTCGATGTCTGTCCGGCCATGTACACGTACAACGAGGGGGTAACCCAGTCCGGGGTCGACGTCCTTAATCCTACCGACACTGATATTATTGTCGAACCAGGACAGGATGTGGCAGTGGTTCAGTTCTACACTTCCGTGCTAGCCGCGATTGAGCTTGATTTCACGGATGAGGATGCAGGAGATGGTATATCTGCATCGGTAGAGCCCTCCGACGATGGTCTGGCTACCGATGCAGCGCCTGCGATGTCGATTCGTCCCGATCCTCATTCGCATCGCTCTCCAGACTCTTCGGTGTTCTTCTACAGTGCGTGTGTCGCACGGCCTGTTGATCGAAAGGAACGTGCCGCTAATCCCAAGGCCAAGGCTGCTCTTGATAAGGAGTGGAATAAGCTTATCAACCAGGGCTGCTGGGATTATGCCTCAGTGCGTGAATGGCGCGATGTATCTAACGAGGCTATGGCAAAAGGGGAGACGGCCCATGTTGGTCGTATCTTCGATATATGCGTTGAAAAGAACTCCGAGCTACCGGAATCCGACCCAAATCGAAAATTTAAGGGTCGTGTCGTGTTTGAAGGCTGTCATGTCAAAGATGAAGGCAACAATTGGGCGATCTTCTCCGAGATTACATCATGCCCCGCAACCATGGAGGCCGGGAAGGCCGCTGATGCTTTCGGTCTTATGCCCGGTCACGAAATACAAGTTGCCGATGGCGATTCCGCCTATACTCAAGCTAAGCTTGGTGGCCCAGCCACCTGGGTGCGACTGCCTGAAGATCGATGGCTGCCCGAATGGCATGGTAAGTATCATGACCCGGTTGTACGCCTTGTCTTGGCCCTTTACGGGCACCCGGACGCCGGTGGGTTCTGGGAACAGCATTGTGAAAAGGCTCTTCGCTCAGTTGGCTTCGAGCAATGCCCTGATTGGAAGAGCGTGTTTCGTCATCCCAAGCTTAATCTTATGCTCGTGGTCTACGTTGATGACTTTAAGCTCAGTGGACCAAAGGCCAATTTGGCCAAAGGGTGGGAGCTCATGGCATCCAAGATTAAATTGGAGCCGCCCTCGAGCATCAAACGTTATTTGGGATGTGAGCATGTTACCTTCTCACATGTTGTTCCTAATGCTTTTGATCCGCGTTCCTATTGGACGCGCTTTGAGGAACCCAAGAAGGCATTTCCCGAGCTCACTTTTGGTGATCGCGACACTAGCGTCGCGCAGGGCTCTGTCGGTCCTCGCGAAATCCGAATGATCAAGTACGATATGCGATCATTCATGGAGCAATGTGTCTCTCGCTACGTTGAGCTCTGTGGTCCTAAATACAAAGCCACCTTGCGTTCGGCTGACACGCCGTTCCCCGATGAGTCGCGACCGGAGTTCGATACCAATCCGGATCGTCCCGAGGTGAACCGCTTGTTGGGCCATCCCGCCGATACGCCCGTGCCTCCTGGTAAGGGCGTTCTCGGTGACTGTGCTGCCGCTGTCCTGATGAAAATCTTGTATGGTGCTCGCATGGGACGATACGATCTCATCCGTCCCGTGCAGGCACTTGCTAGTCTCATCGCTAAGTGGGATGGCTTGTGTGACAAGAAGCTTCATCGTTTGGTGTGCTATATCAATTCCACCCTCGATCTCAACTTATATGGGTGGATTGGTGATGCGCCCGACATGCTGGAGCTTGTGCTCTATTGTGCTGATCTTGCGGGCGACCGCACTGATTCCAAGAGCACTTCTGGTGTCTTCATGTGTCTTCTTGGTCCGCGTAGCTTCATGCCTCTTAATGCGCTGTCCAAGAAGCAGACTTCTGTGTCGAAGTCTACTCCCGAAGCTGAAATTGTCTCTCTTGATCACGCGGTCTATAAGCTGGGCCTGCCTGCTCTCTCTATGTGGGAGTATATGTTGGGCCGTCGTTTCCGATTGCGTGTCATGGAGGACAATGAAGCCGCCATCCGCGTCATTATCACTGGTCACAATCCTAATTTAATATGCGTCACATGTCTCGTACCCAGCGTATCGATATATCTGCGTTGAATGAACGCTACCACGCTGGTGATCGACTTTCTGTTCGTGACGTGTCCCTCTCAGTTTGAGGCTGGTGATATCCTGACCAAGGCCTGCACTGATGCTAAAGTGTGGGGTCGCAACCTCATGTCTATTGGTCATTTTCGTAAGGGACTCTCATTTCCTCTGGTATGTTATCTGCCGCTCCCGCTCTCCCTGCCCTCCCCTCTGTCTGTCCAACCAGGGGGGTACATCTCGAAACTGGTCACACCCCTTTCAATGATTTCATCCTCGATATGTCTCGCCAGGGGGGTATTTCAATCGACGATGCTCACCAATTCGGAGCAGCGATTAAATGTATTCACATCGGGGGCGAGGGTATAATCCGATTTCCTCATGCTCGAAGTATCAATCTCAGTCTCGACGATAGTGCGAAAGGGATTGCTATTTCGAACATCAGGGTTCCACCCACGCCTATAGTGTGTGTTGTCACTGTTCCGATTGCTGGCATTGCTAGTAAAAGTGACACTGGTTTCAAGAACAGGGGTTGGAAAGAAATGAGGGGCGATCTGAAGGAGAAGGGATGGGAAACCAAGAAACTACTCGGGTGTGCTTCCACCGCCCGATCATCTGGAATCCCTGTGTTCCTTGTACTACCTAAGGGAAACCCTCTATGGGGTAGAGAGTACATAAGACGATGGTCTGAATCGCATGAGCTCTGCCCTGTTAAGCTTTGCTCGTGCTCCTCTGGTCGATGTTCTCAGCATGCGTGGATGTGTGAGATTTTCATGCCTGCCCGTTTTGGGCCTATTTTCATGTCACGATTTGCATGCAACCATAAGAAGGCCAAGAGGGCTGACCCGAAAGAGCTTCGATTTGCGTTGTGGGCAGTGCTTGAACATTTCATGAATTCTGCGGTTTTCGGCTCACAGCAATCCGCGATGCCGATTGCTTAAACAAAGACGCTAAGGCCATGTTCACACACACACACACTGCACTCTCACACTTCACTACAGCAAAGCATGGAGCTCACGGGACGATGATCATAGATCACTACTTTCACCTGACCATTACAGACCACCTCTACTACGACTCGATCTATAGCCCACTTGCGCTCCCTGCTAGGACAGGTTGTAGCTGCCACGGGCTGCGAACTTCTCTGCGCTGCCGCCGCCGCTGACCGATGGGAAAGAACAAGCAGCCGCCGCAGCCACCGAAGAAGGCTGCTGCCAAGACACCGGCTGCCCGATCACCTCAGCCGAAGTCACCCTCGCTATGCAGGGAGGGCCTTCCGAGCGGTCCGATTGTGCCGTCTACGGAGAGGCCACCTGTTCCACCGATTCCTTTGGAACAGGCTGACTCTGAGATGGGCACCGATGAGTGCATGCCCCAGTCCCGACTCAGACCCCGAGAGACGAGTCTACCGGGAACAGGGGACGCTCGGAGGATAAGCCGATAGAATTGAAGACGAGGGCGATGATGCTGAAAGTGGGGGTCCAAGAGATCCCACAAGCCTCAATCTGGCAACGACTCGAACAGCTTACGTGCAATCCTGGTTTCGATCAGAAGCTGCATCAGCTGATTGACTCGTTTCTCCTCACCACTCATCCGCTTGCGGACAAGCAGAGGAGACAATACCCCCGCGAGATCATGGACTTCATCGACCGATATAGGGTGATGTCCGCTCTCGCCTTTTCCCGAGTGGCAACGTTGTCTGGCGAAACCGCAGGTGCCCGCGAGAAAATGAATCTTGCGATGTCGCTGGTACGCCACTGTATGCACTTCCAAGTGCAGAATTTCAAGGGAACTCGTGAGACGTTGAGCAACGATACGTTCCGTCTCATGGGAGCAAGTTACATCCCGTCGCCTCTTGCGAGCTGGAACCGAAATCTCATTGGGTACAGCAGCTCAACTGCTGAACAGCGATGGCTGAGGACCGATACAAGCATCAAGCACAATGACCTCACCAAGCTGCCGCCCATCGAGATATCCAGGGATGCAGTTAATCAGGCTGAGGCTGCGAAGTTCTTTAAGGGATTTCTGCAGCTCCGGCCGACGCTGTCCTTCCTCCCTGGCTCATTCCTGGCGATCAAAGCCCTTAACCGATTCCCTACGCTTGACTCTCTGAAGGAGCAGGCGACTCACCTCGAAGGTGAGCGTAAGGAACACGGCTACGATCTCCCTGCCGTGGATGCGAGCGGGATCGGGGAAGTGGCTGCATTCCGTCATGAGGCTGATGACGAGAACGCCCCGCTGATGAACGGGTGGATCTCGTTCATGAAGGCGTTGGTTGAGACCTATCCCGGACGATGCGTCAGCATCGACGATACGCTCAACTGGGGAGCCAGCACCCCGATGACCTATGAGGATGGTGCTTCGCAGGTCGTTATCCGCCCGACTGACGGATGGGTCTATGTCCCCGCGATCAACTCGGACATTTATGATCCCCAGGAGACGTATCTCCACGGCACGATTCTCCGATACCTCTGGTCGATTCTTGCGCACGGAGGGTTGTTCGGTGAAGATTATGTGACGGACGACCGCGGAAGTCACGAGCCCTGTGTTTGGGTTACCGGCGCCGCCGCCGAGGCTGCTAGCAGCTACGCCTCCGGCGTGTACCTCGGCGGAGGATACTGGTTTCAGGTGATGATCTGCGTCTCCCGTACGATGGTGAACACCCACGGCCGTACGACAAAGAAGCTGGGGGGGATCCCAGAAGCAGATCCGCGTCGGAACTAGATTTCTCGAGCTGTGCGGGATAGCATTCAGGCCCTTCCGACTCCTGGATGACCGTGAGCAAGGGGTCTCCACCTCGCCACACTACGTTATCCACGGACACCGATTTCTCAGTGCCGATGGGACGAAAGCCGTGGCATGGCACCCGTGGATGGAGGCGAGCCCAATCGATCCACGCAATCTGAGATTGCTGGGACATGTCGTCGCCAACGATGATGTCGAGTTTGCCGACCTTACGATTCAGGGAGGCAGCACTACCCAACAGGTTGCCTCTACCGAGACAGAGCAACCTGGCTCAGCCGGGGCTGATGATCAGGCCGCGGCAGGTGGTGGTGAGACGACGGAGCGAATCACTGTCAACCCATCAGTGCTTCGACGCAACCACTGGATGCCTGACTCCTATGGAACAAGCGAGACGGCTAACGTAGCTGGACGGTATGCATTGATATCCGAGCTTCAGTCCTCATGCTACCGAATCGAGCTTGCCCCATTCTTCCAGTTGCGTGCACCCAGGGCAACACCGGAGCGAGGCTGACGAGAGAAGACCTCAAGCTGCCGCCGGGGTTCGCCATGCAGCGACGGGTGACAGCATTCCGCAAGCCAGACGAGGATCCAGTGCAGAGCCTTATGGGGCTCACCAACGATATGAGTTATGGATCCACCAGCCGAACTGGGGACGATAGGCTGTCCCAGATCCAGCGCAGTATTGCAGTTCAACTACAGAACACTGCGGGTTTCATTGCGAGTGAGTTCCGAAAGCATGCGCAGTCCATCGCTGCCTCATCCTCGCGTCGCAGTGATGCCTCAGGCGAGTAGTCAGGGTGATGGCGCAGCGGACAACGATTTCCCGTCCACTGAGCCTACTGGCGGTGCGTCAGAGCGTGCAAAGACGCCGCCTCCGCCACCTGAGAGTCCTCCTCCTCCGCCGCAAACGAATGCACCTCCGAGGGCGTCCGAGGAGAGTGCAAAGGAGGATGATGGTGATGACGAAATGGAGGATGACACGGTCGATCAGAAGCCAGAGCAGAAACCCGAGGAGGACGCTGATATGGGTAGCGGAAAGGAGCTGCAAGACGAGGTCCCCGGCAAGGCCCCGCCGCCAGCTGCCCGAACTTGGCCCGAACCGCTGAAAACCCTCCGGAACACGGCGTGCGTTCCAGTTCTCCGAACGATATGGTTGCTCAGGGAGCCGTGCTCTCCGGCGCTCGAGGGCCGGATGTCGATATCGGCCCGGCCAGTACCGCAGCCGATCAGGCGGCAAACGATCCGAGAAATTGTCGGATCGAGGGCCCTGGTATCAAGGCGACAACGATTCATCGCCCTGACCAGATGCCTGAAAGGGGTATTGACTCCATTGCGCCGATCGTGCAGTACGAAATGACGTCCGTCCCGATTGCACTGCCGGACTTCGTCGTTCCAGGACTTGACATGGGCATCGATGACTCCGTCCATGGACGACTGGTCTCCGCGACCTGTCTGCCACCGACTGACGAGCAGCGCAAGTTTTCGAGGCGCCGTTTCGCCATGATTTCTTCGAGTCAGACGGGGTACTTGAACGAGGCACTTCACAAGAAGCCCGAGAAGGGGGATCACAATTCCTTCCTCCGACCGGAGTCTTATGAGGATTGCCGCGAAATTCACAGCGCTGTTAGGGCATACAATGCCAAGGATGCAAAGTACCGATCCATTGGCGGAACGTCTGTGTCATGCAGCCGATTGCTTATCGATGACGCACAGAACATCCCTCCAGCAACGATTCCGGACGCAGGGGTGATCAATCTGGTGCGAAAGCTGCTGTTCCGAGTGCTGACGCAGACGAAGGAATATCCCGCCGCCACTGGCGATCGGTCGCAGAGCCGTCCCCAGGATCAGGAGAGGGGCGTTCCCTTGTACTCACACTTCGATCAAAGTGGGATCATCGCGTTCGGTATCATTCCGATGTACATGGAGCGCGAGAGAGAGTACATGAAGGCCAACGCCGGGGAGACTAGTGGTCGGATTCTTCTCCAGACGAACATCCTGGATGAGAACGATGAGCCGACCGAGCTCACTCTTCGATGCATTATGGAGCTTGCCCGGACGGACAACAACCGAATGTTTGAGTTCTTCTACTCGACGATCAACGGAGATGGAAGTCCTCAGTTTGTTGGCATCCGAGCAACCTACGGTTTCGGTCCCGATAACTTCAACCGATTCCGATTGCTGACAAAGTGCCAGCACGGGCCGTTCATTCAGCTCGCCCAGGATCAGTACGTCGCCGGCGAGAGGAGAAGGAACGTGGCCCGACATCACCCTCAGTATGGATGGGGATGCGCAACGATTCGCGAGTTCTTCGGGTTCATGAGTGATTGCAAGATCAATCCCCCGAGGGGACAGCTGTTCCTCACCCTACTCCCGTACGCTCCCGGATCTGGGATGAACAACGAGTGGGAAGAGGTGTATATGAGTGTCCGAACGAACCCGAAGCGTGAGACGCTATCGAATACCGCGTCCTCACAGTCCATGCTCCCTGAAGGATTGGGATCCAACCGCATGATCGTATTTGCAATTGATTTGCACATGATCGCGGCGGGTATCAATCCGATTGCCTTCCATCCGAGAGGGTACTACGCGATCAAGGACAGTATCCCTCTTGCATGTATGCCGATCGCATACTTCATGGACACGGGAACTCTGGTGTTCAACACGGCATTCAAGTACATCGGAGGTCCGAAGTTTGGCACTGGTCCCGAGCGAGGAAACCACAGACGAGAATCGTGGCCGCTCGCTAGCTTCGACTGTCCCATGTGCGGAGCCTCATTCCCGGTTGGTCTCCACATGTGCCACTCTTGCACTAAGCCGATTCACTATCCTGATGGGATGTTCTACGCCGATCCTGTAAACCCATTTCAGGTCGAGTATTACGGATCTCATGCTGATTGGCTCAACGATCTTATCGAGCGAAACAAGCTTACGGAGTTCCAACTCCACGAGTATCCTGCGATCAAGAATCTGAGGAACTTTCCGGTGTCTGGGTCTGTCTCCGAGGACCACAGGCAGACTGCGTTCTTCGGGGTGCCGCCGATTAAGTGCATTGCAGTCGATACAACGCCTGCTGAGGTGGAACTGTTCAAGAAGAGTGTGCGCGGAACGATTCAAGGCGCCATTCGATTGGACATCGAGAGGCTTGTTGCCGGGATCACTGGCAAGGAGGCTCGAATGGGCGTGGAGGATTTCTTCTCTTCGCAATCGATCGCCTGTGCAGTTACGATTGTCAAGCACGTTGGAGCGGTATTCGCCACGTGTCGCGAGAAGCCTCTGTGCTACTATGCACGATGGTCGATCCATTGCCAACGCGCTTACCGAGTCTGTCTGTCGCGCGGATACCTTTCCCCGTTTTACACAGCGGGGACGCTCGAGTGCTGTGTCGATACAAACATGCTCGAGAAGATCCGACTGGCGCATCTGCCCCTGCAGAATGCCAATTTGACAATGAGAAGGCAAATTCGACTCTCGACCGAGTTTGATACATTGGATGAGTTCCGTGCCACTATCACGGATACGCAAAAGTATCAACGATACATGCGGGTCGACAGTGAGAGTCTTTCCGCGCTCCTGGCCAAGGTTACCCTCACCACGTGCTACGGCATTCCGATAAAGGGAGAGCCTGGGTAATGTTGGATTGATATTAATAAACCCCCCCCCCCCCTGAGGTTGTTTTGCGCGGGGGTCTCTTGGGGCAGGGTCTGGGGTCGGGGTGGCAATAGTAAACCTCTGGCCTGCTCCGGGCCTAGTATACTAGTAGTAGTAATAGTAGTAATAGTAGTAATAGTAGTAATAGTAGTAATAGTAGTAATAGTAGTAATAGTAGTAATAGTAGTAATAGTAGTAATAGTAGTAATAGTAGTAATAGTAGTAATTAGTACGTGAAGTCTCAACCTCTGGCATTCGCAGCACTCTGGCTTCTGTGCCGTCGGCCTTTCTGCTTTCCTTCTGAACTCCCTCTGACGCCACTGGACTGAAGCAAGGAGTCTGGCCTAGCTGGCGAGGGTTTGTTTCTGTTTAACTAATTAGCCACTGAATATCTGAGGCCATGGCACTCTCTGATGCGGACATGAATCTGGGTGAGGAGTCTTGTCTGTGTCTTCTTGTTTTTGGGTTTGGGTTTCTGCGAGAAAGGGTCTGGGTTTTGGTGTCTGGATGTGACTTCTGCTCTTTTGTTTATCTGAGGCACCATCTGGACCCCTGGGCAACCCTGGCGAGCCTTGGCGATAATTAATCTGCCAGAAAGGGTCTGGGGTTTGGGGTTCTGGGTGCGACTTCTGCTCTTATCTGAGGCACCCAATGGACCGGCCAACCCTGGCGAGACTTGGCGATAATCTGCTAGAAAGGGTCTGGGGTTTGGGGTTCTGGGTGCGACTTCTGCTCTTATCTGAGGCACCCTCTGGACCGGCCAACCCTGCCGAGACTTGGCGATAATCTGCGACAAAGGGTCTGTGTTTGGGGTTCTGGGTGTGACTTCTGCTCTTATCTGAGGCACCATCTGGACCTCTGGGCAACCCTGTCGAGCCTTGGCGATAATCTGCGACAAAGGGTCTGGGGTTTGGGGTTCTGGGTGTGCTTCTGCTCTTATCTGAGGCACCCTCTGGACCCCTGGGCAACCCTGGCGAGCCTTGGCGATAATCTGCGAGAAAGGGTCTGGGGTTTGGGGTTCTGGGTGTGCTTCTGCTCTTATCTGAGGTCTGAGGCAGCATCTGGAGCCAACAACCCTGGCGACACTTGGCTGTTTCTGCGAGAAAGGGTCTGGGGTTTGGGGTTCTGGGTGACTTGTCTGGCATTTGCAACTGCTACTCTTATCCGAGGCACCGTCTGGAGGGCTCACTGCCGATGATCTGATGGAGACTCTGAAGGCACCAACATGACCGTGCACGTTCGTTTCTGTGTGTGTCTGCATGTGTCTAATAATTTATCTGCCCTGCAGACGCTGGACCGGCAGAGGGGCCCTCTGTCGTTGCTCTGCACCGACCGCGTCCTGGCTCTGCAGACGGAGCTGCTTGGGTACGACGTCTGGAAAGACGGACGCGGGTGGCTGCACTCTGCGAACGCGAGCCGCAGGTCTGTGTTGAGCTCTAGGGTCAGAGGCGAATTGGAGAGATATCTGGCTGCGTCTGGGTCGCTGAAGCTGTGGGGCCACATCTGCTACCTGTCCGTTCTGGTGACGCTCAACGAGGTGCATCTGTCATCAATTAACCATAGCTGTTCTGGAACAACCCATTCTGGACAGGTTCTGTACAGGATTGTCTGTGATGAGATCACGGATGAGGATGTGGCCCGTGTGAACGGGAATGTGGCGTTTGTCTGGGAGTCGCAGCTCGGCTAATTAGTTCTGCAGTCTTCATCTGCCGGCATTCCGCTTTGATCTGAGTCTGGACACCTTCATGGCCAAGAAGGTGGATCTGGCGAGGGTTTCTGAGGACTGTGGGGACTGGGCTGTCTGGTTCCAGAGCTGCAACTTAGTTGCACCCAGGCCTTTGTTTTTTGTGTCTGGGGGGGGCGGGTGGCTTGCATCTGCATACCGAGATCTGTCGGACTGCAAGAACCACCAGCTCTATATCCGTGATCTGGCATTCTTCTATGCCAGCCCAGGGCTCTGGTGGAGCCGCATCTGGGCCCAACTCTGGACAGATCTGGGAGAACATCTGCAAGAAGGCCTTCCCATCCTCTGCTTAATTAATTAAACCCTGAGCCCCTAACCCTGAAACCCTAAACCCTGAAACCCTGGAGCCCTAAACCCTTGCAGGTCTACTTCCCGTCTGACTACATGCGCCCGTTGCTTGGCCTAGAAGGGTTTAGGTTTTTGGGTCTGGGGTTTAGGGGTTAATGAGGGGTTTGGGCCTCTGCTTTGGGATTCCTACCTAGGCTCTGGCCGAATCTGGTGCCCAGCTCTGGACTTCGTATGCCAGGTGCCTGAAGGTGGGGTTTGGGGGTGGGGTTGGGGGTGGTTGGGGGTTGGTGGTTCGGGCTTCTGCTCCTGCTGGCAGGAGCTTCTGATGCAGCAGATTCTGTGGCTTTGGCTGGTGTATCCGGTCATCTGGCCGAGGCCAGATCTGAATCGCCCTCTGGTGCACACCAACCCCAGTCTAACTAGGGTTCTGGAAGCCCAGGATCTGCCGAGGGGTGGAGTGATCTGGATCTATCTGTACAAGGAGGGGTTAGGGTTTGGGGTTCAGGGTTTCAGGGTTTGGGATTTAGGGTTCAGGGTTTGGGGTTAAGGGTTTCAGAGTCTGGGGTTAAGGGTTTCAGAGTCTGGGGTTAAAGGTTTCAGGGTTTGGGGTTAAGGGTTTCAGGGTTTGGGGTTTAGGGTTTAGGGTTTGGGGTTAAGGGTTTCAGAGTTTGGGGTTAAGTGTTTCAGGGTTTGGGGTTAAGGGTTTCAGAGTTTGGGGTTAAGGATTTCAGGGTTTGGGGTTCAAGGTTTCAGAGTCTGGGGTTAATTAAGGGTTTGAGGGTTTGGGGTTAAGGGTTTGAGGGTTTGGGGTTAATTAAGGGTTTCAGAGCTTGGGGTTTAGGGTTCAGGGTGTGGGGTGAGGGCTTCAGGGTTTGGGGCGCCACCACCACCACCACCACCACCACCACCACCACCACCACCACCACCACCACCACCACCACCACCACCACCACCACCACCACCACCACCACCACCACCACCACCACCACCACCACCAGCACCAGCACCGCCACCACCACCACCACCACCACCACCACCACCACCACCACCACCACCACCACCACCACCACCACCACCAGCACCAGCACCGCCACCACCACCAGCACCACCACCACCACCACCACCACCACCAGCACCACCACCACCACCAGCACCACCAGCACCACCACCACCGCACCACCACCAGCGCCACCACCAGCACCACCACCACCACCACCCCCGCCACCACCACCACCAGCACCACCACCACCACACCACCCCAGCACCACCACCAGCCCCACCACCACCACCACCACCCACCACCACCACCACCACACCACCACACCACCACCACCACCACCACCAGCACCACCACGACCACCGCCACCACCAGCAGCAGCACCAGCACCACTAGCCCCGTCAGCAACAGCAGCAGCAGCAGCACCACCAGCACCACGACCACAACAGCAGCAACAACAGCAGCAACAACAACAAGAAGAACAACAAGAATAAGAATAACATCAATACACAATAATTAACCAACAACTATCAAATTTAATCATAATTCGTGAGCTAATCAATTAATTAATTAAAACCAGAACAAATAAATAAGTGATTAATCAATGTAAATAATTACATGCATCCGGGCAGGAGCTCATCTGAGCAGAGTTCTGCCCGCCGTGGAGCCGCAGAGCTCTGGAGCTGTGTCTGGTTGCCCTGTAGAAAACCCTAGAAAACCCTAGAAAACCCTTGTACCCTAAACCCTAGTCCCTCTAAAACCCTAAACCCTTTAAACTTAAACCTTTAACTCTGACTTAGGGTTTAATCACATAGGGCACGTATATAAAGGTCCTAGGGTTTGAAATATGTAATTAATTAAATACTTAGGGGTTCTGTTGTTTCTGTAATTAAGCTCTGGAAGCTCTGGCTGTGGGCTCTGTCTTTTTGAAGACGCACCGAGACCTCTGTCGCAGAGGAAGGAAAAATCTGGTTGCACTGTGTCTGTCTTGGTTTGTCTGCGTTGAAGCAGCCACTGTCTGATTCTGTTTTTGCAACATGTAAGTACTTGAGTAACTTCTGCTCAAGCTCTCTGGTCGCTTCTCTTCGGCAAGATGGGCAAGTCTGGGGTGCTCAAGAAGCCGTCTGCCTCCGCTCTGGTCAAGAAGCCGTCTCTGAAGCAAGACCCCAGCGACGATCTGGCACCTGCCGTGCCTGAGCCGCTGCAGCGACTGAAAGCTCTGTCTGAAGCGTCTGAAGCCTCTGGGGAGACTGTGCTTCCGTCCGAGGAGGCATCTTTGTATGCACCGGATTGTTTCCTGCATCTCTGGGATACTCTGAGTTCTGAACAGAAGGAGTATCTTCGCAAAGCCTCTGAGGTTTTGAAGGCTCTGAAGTGAGCCGCAGAACAGATCTCGCAGGAGTTTTTGAAAAAGAGTCTGACCTCGCATTGCACACGTTCTGGAAGTGTTGTTGCTCTGCAAGCACCGGTTGCAGCCGAGCTTCTTGTTCTCTCTGATTCCCGATTGGGTCGAGCTCTGTGTCAGTTCTGTAGCTCCTCTGAACACTGACATGGTGTCCTCTGCGGTGGTCTCTGCCTACGTGGCGGTCTGTGCTCTGGGCAAAGCCTTTCTGCGAAAGCAGGCGGAGATTCTGACCTTGCTTGGTCTGTTCCTCGGCCTGGATCGAGCGGATCTGTTCTTCTGCTTGGCATCTGGTGAGCAGATCAGCCTCATCTGGAACGGTGCCGTCAGTCTGCGCTGGACTCTGAATGGCTGGCTGGTCAGGCGACGGGATCTGTCTGTTGGAGATCATCTCTGGCTTTGCTGGAAGAACCCTCCACAAGGACACGCTCTGACAGAGCGAGATCAGGGGGATCTAGGGTTCTCTGAGGAGGAAGCCTCTGATCCCAACGGCGAATCTGCTGCCGAAGCCTCTGGCGAAGGTGCCGAGGTCTGGGAGATTCTGAATCTGTCGCCTGCTCCCAGGTCTTCCCGAGATCTGGAGTGATGATCTGCTTCGCAGTGAAGAGTGAAAACATTCCGAGCATCTGTTCTGCAAGGTTCTGCTTTGCCTGCATTGTCTGAAAAGAGCCTAGGAAGAAGCTTTCTGATTGTCCATGCATCTGCAGGCATGCCATTTTGGCTTTGCTAGTAGATCTGCCCAGCAATGTCTGTGGCGATCTCCTCTGATGAGGAAGATGGCGGCGGTGCTGCGGCCGCTTCTTCTGCTGCTTTGGTGTCCAGCGAGGACGTGTCTGAGCAGCTTGTGGCAGCTTCTGAAGGAAGCTTGTCGGAGCAAGCTCTGGTGACTGCAGAGAGTTCTACCTTACAGCCTTCTTCAGGCGAGCTGCTTCTGTCATTCCATGTTGCTTCTGGCAAAGACTGATTATTAATTCGTTCTGAAGTTTAGCTGCTGCAGTTCCTGGAATCCGGAGTCCCTGGCTTCTTGCCAAAGCCTGCAGCTTTCGAATACCAAAGCCTCTGGCTTCTTGTCCAAAGCCACTGGCTTCATAGCTTTCCCAAAAGCAAGGCTTCCCATCGGGAGCCCCTCCCCCGGAAAAGTTTATTATTGCCACCCCGTTTATAATTGCCAGAAGAAGGGCTGCAAAGGGTTACCCTTGCCGGCTTTGTGAAATGGCTCCGTTTATATAGAATTGGAATAAGGAACCGACCTCAAGTTTAGCTGCTGCAGTTCCTGGAATCCGGAGTCCCTGGCTTCTTGCCAAAGCCTGCAGCTCTCGAATACCAAAGCCTCTGGCTTCTTGTCCAAAGCCACTGGCTTCATAGCTTTCCCAAAAGCAAGGCTTCCCATCGGGAGCCCCTCCCCCGGATGAGTTTATTATTGCCACCCCGTTTATAATTGCCAGAAGAAGGGCTGCAAAGGGTTACCCTTGCCGGCTTTGTGAAATGGCTCCGTTTATATAGAATTGGAATAAGGAACCGACCTCAAGTTTAGCTGCTGCAGTTCCTGGAATCCGGAGTCCCTGGCTTCTTGCCAAAGCCTGCAGCTTTCGAATACCAAAGCCTGTGGCTTCTTGTCCAAAGCCACTGGCTTCATAGCTTTCCCAAAAGCAAGGCTTCCCATCGGGAGCCCCTCCCCCGGATGAGTTTATTATTGCCACCCCGTTTATAATTGCCAGAAGAAGGGCTGCAAAGGGTTACCCTTGCCGGCTTTGTGAAATGGCTCCGTTTATATAGAATTGGAATAAGGAACCGACCTCAAGTTTAGCTGCTGCAGTTCCTGGAATCCGGAGTCCCTGGCTTCTTGCCAAAGCCTGCAGCTTTCGAATACCAAAGCCTCTGGCTTCTTGTCCAAAGCCACTGGCTTCATAGCTTTCCCAAAAGCAAGGCTTCCCATCGGGAGCCCCTCCCCCGGATGAGTTTATTATTGCCACCCCGTTTATAATTGCCAGAAGAAGGGCTGCAAAGGGTTACCCTTGCCGGGTTTGTGAAATGGCTCCGTTTATATAGAATTGGAATAAGGAACCGACCTCAAGTTTAGCTGCTGCAGTTCCTGGAATCCGGAGTCCCTGGCTTCTTGCCAAAGCCTGCAGCTCTCGAATACCAAAGCCTCTGGCTTCTTGTCCAAAGCCACTGGCTTCATAGCTTTCCCAAAAGCAAGGCTTCCCATCGGGAGCCCCTCCCCCGGATGAGTTTATTATTGCCACCCCGTTTATAATTGCCAGAAGAAGGGCTGCAAAGGGTTACCCTTGCCGGCTTTGTGAAATGGCTCCGTTTATATAGAATTGGAATAAGGAACCGACCTCAAGTTTAGCTGCTGCAGTTCCTGGAATCCGGAGTCCCTGGCTTCTTGCCAAAGCCTGCAGCTCTCGAATACCAAAGCCTCTGGCTTCTTGTCCAAAGCCACTGGCTTCATAGCTTTCCCAAAAGCAAGGCTTCCCATGGGGAGCCCCTCCCCCGGATGAGTTTATTATTGCCACCCCGTTTATAATTGCCAGAAGAAGGGCTGCAAAGGGTTACCCTTGCCGGGTTTGTGAAATGGCTCCGTTTATATAGAATTGGAATAAGGAACCGACCTCAAGTTTAGCTGCTGCAGTTCCTGGAATCCGGAGTCCCTGGCTTCTTGCCAAAGCCTGCAGCTTTCGAATACCAAAGCCTCTGTCTTTTTACTAACATCACGTCTTTGCCAGTTGACATAATGACTGACTATTTACTGATATGTTTTCATGCAAGTGACAAGCGTTCTTGTTTCTTGATTCAACCGCAGCAGGTTCTGGAAAGCAGAAGAGACTGCTGCACTTCTGGAAGCCCGAGCACCCTCTAGCAGAGAAGCCTCCTCTGGAGAAGGAAGCTCAGCCCAAGGGCAGGCCACTGTCCGCTGCCATGAAGCAAATTCTGGCAGAAGTGGCAAGAGAGTCTGTTGTAGAACAGACTGACGAAGAAGCCCGTCTGGAAGCTCAGCGACGCTACGCGAAGAAGAAGAACACTGGCAGACCAAAGAATCTGCCTGGAGCTCCTTCTAAGAAGCGCTCTGCAGAGATGCCTCTGGCAGTGCAAGCCCGTGTTCTGAAGCAGATGAAGACAGAGATGCCTGGCTTTAGTTCTGAGCAGGACTTCGCTGCAAGCATGAGCCGGAAACTTGGTCTGGACAAGAAGTACGTGAAGAAGCTCTGGGCTAGAAGAGACAACGTTCTCTTGCAACAGTCTGCGCGGAACTTTTCTGTGCTCCCTGGCAAGCACCTCTCTGCCAGGTCTGGTAAGGGCCGTGCGAAGGTTACTGCCAGAAAAAGAGGGCAAGGCTTCCGTCTGACAGGAGCTGGCCGCAAGACAGAGTTTTCTGCCGTGAAGACCGCTCTGCGGACCTGGTTCGAGGAGTCTCGTGCCTACGGGCACTCTGTGAAGAAGCGGCATCTGCTGTCGCAGTGGCAGCTTCTGTGAGCAAGGAGCTTCTGAAGCTCAAGTCTGCGAAGAGTGCCTCTGCAGACTCCTTCGAGCGGGGTCGTCTGGATCAAAAGATCTCTGAAGGCGAGAAGCAGCTGCAGTCTGCTGCGAAAGATTCTGGCAAGAACCGTCTGAGGCAGCTGTTGCTGGATGTCGGTGCCAAGAATCTGGAGCCGGATCTGAAGACGAAGCTGTCTGAGTCTGAGGAGATGGTCTCTGCGAAGCTCACTTACCAGAGTCTGGACCGCACTCTGTGGACAGCCTGCTTCGCACCTCTGGAGGATCTGGCGACCAGGGTTGCCAAGCCCTCTGAGTTCAGAGAGCATGTCTCTGATTTGGTCGTGATCTGCTCCGACCAAATCCCTCTGTGGATAAAGTCTGGCAGCGAGCGAGAGCTGTTTGCTGAGTGGGAGCACAACCCTCTGCCCCAGCAGCATCTGCGAGAGGCTCTGAAGAATCACCATCTGTCCTCCTCTGACCAGGTGAAGTCTGGCGATCTGGTGGCACCTCTGCTGCAGGCTGTGAAGCCGTCTGCTGAAGCTGCCCGTGCCTCTGGTCAGAGGCAGAAGAGGGCCTTTCTGGACGCGGACTCTGTGCGCTACCGTGTCACCTACGAGGCCAGGCAAGCTCTGTACGGCCTCTGCAAAGACCCTGCTCTGGAGGGCGAGTCTGGTTTGAGCGGGCAAGTTCTGCCTGGTCTTCTGGTGGTGCACGGCTCTCACGCTCGTCTGAACAACATCGACAGCTCTGGTCGATTTCTGCGAGACGAGACGTTTGAGTTCTCTGGCAAGATGATCTGCCGCAAAGCAGGCTCTTCTGCTGGCAATCTGCTCCGTGGCTGGAGGCAGGCCCGGGACAAGGATCCTTCTCTGTTTCGCCAGATCAGTCTGATGAGCCAGCCCTCTGCGAATGTGGATGGCATCATCTTCGCCTGGGCTCAGGAGGAGCTGGCTGCTCTGGCACCTGCCTCTGTCCATGTCCGCGACTGCTTCGCGGCGGCCTGGTCTGTCTCTGGGGCAGAGTCTCTGTTCTACTCGCAGAGTCTGCAGACGGTCATTGGACCGAAACTGACTGCGAGTCTGCAACTGACTGACACAGACTATGCCAGATCTTTCAAAAGTCTGGCAAGGTCTGCCATGGACGACCTGAGGCTGCTCTAATCATTTTGTTTTTTGCTTCCCTTCTCTGATGTCCGGTTTAATTACACTGTCCTAAACCATACGTGCCTGCAGGCATGCCGGTCAGACTGCTCTGCTGGCAGCTGGCGAGAAGGAGTTCTGGCGAGCGAGCCATCTGGACATGGCGACGGCTGTGGTGCAAGCTCAGACGAAGATGTCTGAGCGACAGGCCTCCAAAGACTGGATCGTGTCTGGTCTTCGCCGCAACGGCCTGCTGGCTTACAGACCGGACTTCTCCAAGCAGACTCTGGTGCCTCTGAAAGACGAAGACTGCTGCGGCGCCTCCATGGGCCGCTCTGCTCTCCTCTATTTTTCCAGCTTCAAGTAATCTGTAGCTTTTGTTATCCTCGACATGTTGGCAGCCGAGGTTCTGCAAGGACGAAGCCAGCCTGGCTGAAGGATCGCTACTCCTGGCTGGATGCATCTGGCATTCCAGCCCAGCCGGACTGGTCTGCTCTGCACGGAGCCAAAGTCGTGGCGGATCTGGTGGAATGGAGCTACCACCAGTCGGACTCGCAGGACGAGGCTCTGGAAAGCCAGGTCTCCGAGGCCCTTCTGAACGTGCACGAGATGCCACTGGATCTGCAGCTCCCCTGCATCGAATCTGGCGTCCTGACACTTTCTCTGGACCTGCAACGTGCAGCCTGGCAGAAGCAGCTCTCTGCGGACAAAGACACTCTGCAGAAGAAAGCTGTCAAGCGAGACGTGAAGCAGATGATCACTCTGGCCAAGCGGAAGCTTCGAGGAAAGCTTCTGGAAGCCATGAGGCATCGTCTGACCCAGATGTCCCGACAGCAAGCTTTGCAACGTCTGGTGCCGAGAGCCTCTGAGAAGAAGCCCTCTGTCGTGAAGAAGGCCGTTTTGAAGCAGAAGAAAAAGACGGCCCTGGCCCACGCTGCGAAGGCTCTGGCGAAGGCCAAGGCTCTGGACGACAAGCCCTCCGGCGACTCTGCTTTGGTGCCTGGCCCTGCTCCTGCTGACCCCGTCTCTGCGAAGGCCTCTGAGCTGAAGGAGGCAACGAAGGGCCCTCTCTACGGCCGAGTCTGCAGGATTCTGCGAGAGGACCACACCTGTGGCAAGTCTGGCAAGTGCTCCATGCACAACCTTCTGACGAACCAGGTGTCTCTGCTTGGCCACTGAGTCGCATTTATTTTCTTCAATAATTAATTAAGACAGTTTCTGTTTCATTGTCTGCTCAGGTGTAGGGGATGCCTGTGCCACCGTGATCCTCTCTGACAAGGAGGTCTGCGAGGTGGATCCACTCTGGCAGACTGCGAAGAAGTGGAAGAACATGCGCCTGAAGAGGGATCTGAAGCAAAGCATTTTGCGAGCTTGCGGTGGCTCTAGCCTCTTTTTGGAGGCTTCTGGTGGGTTCTTTGCTGCGGAGCCTGTGGAACTGCTGAAGTTCAAGAAGTCTTACCCGCAGATGCTTCTGGACCAGCATCTTCGGTACGGCTGGGAACTTCTGCGGTACAATCTGAGCGACTCCGACGAGAACTGGTTCCTGGAGAACAAGATCTGCATGGTGGACCCGAAGCTCTCTGGGCAGCTCCTCGGCGAACACGACCGCCCCGAGCTTCTGCGGGCTGCTCTGGACAGACTTCGTTCTGAGAACAAGCTGCTGTTCGTGCCTGTCTGGGGGAACTCTCCGAACCACTGGACTCTTCTGGTCCTGCAGCGAGAAGAGCTCTCAGAAAACTTCTCTGTGAAGTACCTGGACAGCCTGTCTGAGAAGCACGAGGAGTGCTCTGTGAACGCTGCCCGGCTTCTGTCTCTGCTTCTGCCGACAGAGACTCTGCCAGAGAGAAGCTGCTCTGGCACCCAGAAGTCTGACGAGTGCGGCTTCTGGGTTCTGGCCAACATGCTCTGGATCTGCTCGGGCCTGCTTCTGGAAGGACCCTGTGCTCGTGGGTCTCGCGGCAAGCTGGTTCTGGAGCTCATGTCTGAGCTGAAAGGGTTTCTGGCTCAGCTGTCTGGGGAGCAGGCGAAGCTGGAGAAGGAGCTTCTGGGCAAAGAGAAGGATCTGGAGAAGACTCTGAAGGCCAACCGGATCCGGTCTGAGAAGCTGGCTGCGAAATCTGGCAAGGACGCTGCCTCTGTTCTCAAGCTTCAGAATCTGGCGAAGCAGCTCCTCTCTCTGAACAAGGAGCCTGACGCCTCTGATCTGTCTGAGGAGGACAAGTCTCGGATCGAGACTGTCCGTCTGACAGGTCTGGGCGTCTGTTCAAGATGCCACTGGCAAAGTGGTTGTCTGGACTGTGATCCTGCGAAGCTGGAGCGGTATCTGCTGAACAGACTGCGTCTGGAGCTGGGTCTGCCACCTAAGGCAGCCTGAATTCTTCTGTTTCACAGCTCTCTGGATGCCATTGGATCTGCCGAGGGGTGGAGTGAAACAGTCTGGAACTGCACTCTGCGAGCTTTTAGTTCATTGTCGTCTGTGCCGATTTGCACTCTGCTGGCTGGGTTTAGGGTCCTCTTTGTTTGAGTCTCTGCTAAATACGTAGCCTCGTCTGTAGAATTTTGGGGATTTCTGAGCCCGAATATTTTAATTGTCACCCCGTTTATTATTGCGACTGGAAAATTATGATCAGTTGTTTGGCCAAATCTGCCCTTGCCTTTAAACTCCTCTTGCGCCCGGAAATTCTGGCCCGGGGAATATTTTAATTGTCACCCGGTTTAATAAAGCCACTCTTACATTAAAGACGTTCTTCAGTTGAACCTGGGTCACAGCTTTGGGTCCAGCGTCCGGCTAGATGTAGATTCGGAGCTCAATGGATCAATGTGTAGATTAGATTGTTTAGGGTTTTTCGAATTTATTGGAATGTATTGGAATGATCTTCAAATGTGTTAAACCCTAAACCCTTTCACCTTGGAGCTTTCGAAAGTTGGCATTTCCATTCTAACGTTTCGGGATGGGGGATCCGGCTGTGGTTCAAAAAACCACGGTTTGAAACCCCCGGAGTCAGAGATCCTTGGACAGAGGTGCACACGATAACTTTTAGTTCTGTCAGTAGCCCAGCTAGACCAGCTTCATTTATGACGTTCTAGTAGAACCCCGCATCCCAGAACCTATGCCCGGACCTAACTCGAGGCGTAAACCAGCTGTGCTAAGCTGCTAAACCCTGAATCCCTGAAGCGTGAAGCTCCAGAAACAGGGGCCTTGACCCCACACTAAACATCCCGAACGCCTACTCGCATGATCATTGGATGTAGAACGCAGAAAGCCATGTTACCAGTACATTAATTGGCTGTAAAATAGGAAGTAATCATGGCTGTAGCTACCAAGTAGCTGCTAGAACCTGTTTCCTAAACACGAAAGCCGACTAGACGAATACAAGGACCGGAAGCAAGCCTTGCACTGTAGAACTGTCTACCCCCGCCCAGGCTGCTCGACCCCATATCCTCAAAACTTATATAATGCTTAAACCCCAAACCACATAAATCCGATAAGCCCAAACCCTGAACCCTGCTTCCTTTTGCTGCACCCTTGTATTTGCTCAACTTCATTGCTAAAACCGCAGTTCTTGTCTACGGCCCGCTCAAAAGAAGCGTTTGGCCCCGGCATCGGTCGCCATGTCCAGAATAGGCAGGCTTTAGCGCTTATATGCTTAGTTGTCAAAATTTAGGTACCTTTCTGGGTCCTTATTATAATACGGCACCTAATATGTAGGGTACCCAAAAAGGGACCCTAATTTTGACAACCACCCATATGATTAGGTTTTGGGGGTTGGGGATTTTAGCAGGGTCTACGGGGTTAGGCTTGAGTCGCCGGTTGTAAAGGAAACCCTGAACTGGGTTTCGGTTCTTTTGGGGTTTGGGTTCCAGCGCATAGGGGATCGACTCTACTTGAAGGATCATGGGACTTAGTAAGTGAGGTTATAAGTAAGGTAACTACAGTTATAACTACTTATAACCCCAATTAAGGTATTTACAACCCTACTTACTAAGTCCCAGAATCCTCCAAGTACCCTTCGGTTTAGGAGCTCGCCGCTTGGATCTTCCGTTTCGGCCGTCCAGTTGACCGTACCTAGAGGGTCATACCCTGCCCCTTTTTTTTAGGATACCCAGTGTTATGGTTAGGGTTTGTTATATAGAAAGTTAGGTACCTTAAAAGAGGTGTAGAGTATGAGCCTCTATGTAGGTGTATGATGAATTCTAGATTCTAGACCTTTGGCACAGCTTAGCGCGATGTTCCTCGGAACATGCTTGCATTCGCAAACATGACGCCTTTCCCTTCCCGACAAGTTTGCCCGGTATCGATCCTAAACCCCATACCATCCTAAACCCTAAACCTTGAGCCCTTCGCTTATGAAACCCTTGGAGTTCAAGGTTCACCGGTAGTTCCTTCTGACCCCTCAACACTAAACCCGAAAACCCACCAGTACCCCTTTGGTAGCCCTTAAAGGGAACTCCAATATAGTTGGAATATGGATTAATGGTAGGATCCCCTGTAATTTACCTTAAAGGTGTTAGGACAATGATATTCCAGCTTTCTGGCTTCTACTGTACATCGTAAGTCTTTACATTCCCCCTGACAAGCCCATGGTCAGGCTTGCAGGACAGAGTTCGGATTAAGGCCACCGGCGCAGAGACCTGGCGATAGCGGTTTAGGGCCTTAGGGGGTTTAGGGTTTAGGGCTCAGGGCTTGGGGGACTTCTAACTCAAACCTGCTGGGGCCCGAAGGCCATACTCCGTGAGACTAGTTGGCTATTTTGAGCCCTAGCCTTAGGGTAATCTTTCGGGGAGGTTTTTTAATGAAGCCTTACCTGGGACCTAGGAGGTCCCTCTGCATGTGTGTTTCTTCAGGGTATAGGGTTTAGGATTGGTAGGTGGCAAGGATCCCAATAAGCTTTCTCGCGGTTCGATCCCGGCCAAGCCTAAGCCACAGCCCGTCAGTTTGAAGGGCAGCAAGCTAAGCTACAAATATCAGATACAACTTCCTAGGTAGGGCTTCGGGACATTTTATATTTTCCCTTATTGGGCTTAAGAGGATCTTATTTACTAATATTTTTCATAGGCTTTAAAAGCCTCACCTAGACTTCCGTCAATCTCACCTGCCAAGTATGATGCGCCTCAAAGTGCCCCGGAGTCGAATGGGTGGTTGTCAAAATTAAGGTCCCTTTATGGGTACCCTATCTATTAGGTGCCGTATTAAAAAGGGACCCTAAGATTGATATCCCCCCAATAGAAGCCCCAAGAATCAAGGAAGGCGTTGTGAGCTTGACAAATGGCCATTCGCCACTTGCCTTTGTTGAGGTGTTGGGGTATGTGGGTAGCTCTCTAAATCAGGATCCATTTGTCGGTCCCCAAAATATGCGGCACCATTTCTCCGTAAAAGTGACCTTATAGTTTATTGAACTATCCATGTGTGTGTTTTCGCATGTGCGTCGGGCCTGGAGAAGGCAACGCTTGAGTGGGGTCATCTGGGGTATAGTGTCCTAACAAGCAGTGTTCCCTCAACAGTAGAACTAGCACAAGTACTCCCGATGGACGTCACCTAGGCATGCAAGGTGACATTGAACCTGTCCCGTGCCGATGCGCTGCAGATCCTGATTTTCGGTTTGGCGGGGTCAGCTTCAAAACTAATAATGTAGGACCCTTAATAATTGGAACAGGGTTTCGGGGGTACGTTAAAGTTGTTGTAGCACCCAAACCCTTTTCTAATTATTAAGGCCCTTCATTTTGAATAGGTGCTGCTTCTGGATCCTTGAGGGCTGCAACATGCAACGGAAGAGAAGAAACTGCTGCACACTTTAGGGTCTGTGTACTCCTACATCCTAAATCCTAAACCTTAATTAAAGCCTAAACCCTAAACCCTACGCAGTGTGAGAAGTCCAGGCACAAAGTGGCTGGATGTTGGTACTACTGCGATGAAGTGGAAGCGACCAGAGCTGCAGGAAGAGGACCCCCACACAGCCTAGGCTCGAAGCCTTATAAGCTGAATACTTGTCGCGGTAACTTCCAGAAGCTTGTTGTAATTTAGCATTTACCCCTATGGCTCCAGGGACGTTATTATTGGGTCCTTTAAGGGGTCTAGGGCCTTAGCTAGGATGTCCTTGGAAGGATATGGTAACGGTTTAGGGTTGAAGTGTATAGGCTTATAGGGTGCAGGGAGTCTTACTGGGCCTCCTGACCGACCTGACCTGCGGAGGCACTTGAGAGCTCTTGCTTTGTAATTTTTCCTCGGGCTCCACAATCTTAGATGCTGGTTAGCAGGGCTACATAATGCTGATTATCCCATACAGGCAGTACCTACGTTGGGGTTGAAACTCTAGACCTCTCCCGGCTATTTGCAGTCTCAGGGTGAGTAACCTGCTATGAATCAGGTATCTGAAGCTCCAGGGTTTTTTTGCAAGGCCAGAGTATCTCAGAGACCGGGTGCTGCAACCGAAACCCACGAAACACCCTACATCTTCAACCCTCAATGCTGTTGCCTCGATGAGTAATTATGTCTTTTCACATGTGCGGAGCTCCTGACTTTCAGTTTAATGTTTATGACACACGGATTTGTGGGATGTCCAAAGCTACCGGATTTCCCTTGAGGGCTGAGGGTTTAGGGTTACTAGGGCTTTCGGCGCAGGGTTTACAGCTTGTCAGTGTGGGGTTAGGCTTCCCGCTCGAGGTTTTTCGGGTTCGGGGATTCAGCTCTCTCTGTCTATCGATTTATCTATCTGTCTATCTATCTAGCTATCTGCATACCTGGCTAGCTAGCTATCTAGCTATCTATCTTCCTTGCAATCTATCTGTGTATCTATGCGTACATGTAGATACTCGGGTACATATACAGAAACATATACACAGATGTGTATGTGCGTATATACACACACATACATGCATGCGTGCATACATACATACATGCATACATAATTACATAGATACATAGATACATACCTACATGCGTACATACATACATACACAGATATGTCAATATTGCAGGCCCATATCAGCCTACCTCTCCCAGTGGACCCAGGACCCAGTGCTTTGACAAAGCACTTTGCAGACTTACCCCTAGCAAAGTCACTTAGAGTTTGGGTTCGTTCTGTACCTTCGAAGTCCTGAATCGAATACCCTTGATGGTATGTGCGTGAGTGTGATGTTGCTGCTATGGAGAGAGTTGAGGTTCATAGCCTAGATTACGAAAAAGCGAGGTTGTTGCAGCTTAGGATGCCTTAGGCCTGCTTGGAGGGGCAGGGGACTTAGTAAGTAGGTTATAAGTAGAGTTGTACGTACCCGAAATGGAGCTACCCCAATTATAACCCTACTTATAACCTACTTACTAAGTCCCCTGCCCTTCCAAGTGCAGCTCACTCCACTCTGAGCCCCAGCTCGAGGCGA